TATTTCCTCCTGCCTTCTTCATTGTTGACATTCTTCCATTTCCTTCGCTCCTCCATTTTACTCATCATCTCCTGTGTAACCCATGGTTTTCTTGCTATCTTCTCAACTTTACCTACCAAATCACTGATAGTATCTAACATGCATTCTTTTATATCGTTCCACTGCGCTTCAGCATTTCCGCTTTCACCTTCAATTGCACCGAGTTTCTCTTCTAGAGTCTCTTGCACGCTTTGTCTTTGAGCATATAACTTCTCCAAATCCCATCTGGGTCTGCGCTTTCGAAATCCTATAATTTTCTTCAACCTGGTTCGGAACTTGGCAACCAGCAAGTTGTGGTCAGAGTCAATGTCTGCCCCAGGAAGCGTCTTCACATCCTTCACACTGTTTCTGAATCGATGTTTCACAAGGATGTAGTCCAGCTGATGCCTCTTCCAATCCCCAGGTGCCTTCCATGTGTAAATTCTTCTCTTTGGCTTCTTGAACCAAGTGTTGGTAACAATCAATCCATTTCGTTCACAAAAGTCAATAAGCATTTGACCTCTGTGATTCCGTCTTCCTAGTCCATGTGATCCAACAATATTCTGATATGGTTCATCTCCAACAATGCTGTTCCAGTCTCCCAATATGATGCTGTTTGTGTCTCCTCTTCCATCTTCCTGAAGAATTTCTTCAATTGTGTCATACACTTTTTCCACTTCATCATCTTCATACTCTGATGTTGGCATGTACACTTGTATAATCAGTATATCTACCGGTTCCGCCTTTAACTTCAGAGCAATAATTCTGTCATTACAAGCAATCTTCTTAACAACACTCCTCACTACACTTTTATGCACCACTATTGCCACACCTCTTTCAGCCCGTTCACCTCCGGAATAATACACTGTATAATCACCGCTTCTTATTTCACCTTGTCCTTTCCACCGCACTTCGCTGACACCTAGCACAGACACTTCATTCTTCTGCATTTCCGTTTTCAAATTCTCCAATTTTCCTGCTTGATTCAAGGTCCTGACATTCCATGTTCCAATCTTGTATCCATGCTGTTTCTTCTGATCTTCGCACTTTTTCTTGTTGTAACGCCTGCATGACATTTCCTCTAGAAACACTCCCCCCCGGAGATCCGATTGGGGGAGTAGTTTACCTCCGGATTGTTTTGCCTCCAGAGGAAACATCTCGCATATATGGTATCTCTGTTTTTGGAAAGAGACTATCCAGGAAAAGTGATAATGTGGTAGTTTTTCCATTTGCTTTCCACATCGCAGTACAGCAGCCGTTCAAACCACTCTGGTCACGCCTGCTGCTATACGAACTTGAACCATCTCGAGCATCATTTGCTCTGTGCTTCAAGTCGCTACTGATGACGCTGCTTCCGGCATCAGTTTTTGGTGTCTCTCTTCGTCTGATGCCTACCCTTTGACCTGTCCAGCAAGGGAGGCCCTGCCAGTAGCTACGCTACCGCTGGTATAGCTCTCAGGGTCCTTGGCATACTCAAACCCTCTCATCACGATAAGGTGGAGACACCAACGAGGGAGCATTTCATATACATTTTCTAAAATCATCATCCTTATATCAGGTGTTTTTGCTAGGCATTTACCTGTCCAAAACACTATCGTACTAAACATTCTAACAGCACTCGTCAACAAAACGAAATAAATGGCCAAATTCCTAAGAATAGCCCGATGGAATGCCAATGGACTTCCAAATCCTCACGAAGATATAAAAATATTTCTAAACATAAACTCAATCGACATCCTGCTAATCAGCGAAACCCACTTCACCAGCAGAAGCTAATTCAATGTCCCCAATTACAAGCTTTACTACACAAGCCACACTGACGACACAGCCCTCGGAGGCACTGCAATCCTAATCAAAGAAAAAATCGAACATCATGAACTACCAAAATATGAACAACATTTACGCAACAGAAGTCATCTGAGAAAACAGCACCAAATACTTCAACAGACTAGAAAATCACTCCAACCCACTTTTTCAACCTCATGAAAATCGAAGACTCAAAAGAAGTTGATCATCAGGTCTAACGAAGTGAGGAAAACATCACTGGATGTTAATCCCGCACACACCATGAAGAGTGTACAATAAATAATTATTAAATTGTACACCAACCAGCACATTGACTTGGAGATTGTATAAACTGATTGTCAATAAAAGGAGAGAATAACAAAATTTATCTGTGATTGCTAAAGTCTGATTTACTTTTGTTGTCAGTTAGTGGTCAGTTCCAACCACCACTATTTTCAGATGAATGGGGGCGAATGGGAGCACGCGCTAGCATAGTTGGTTGAGGGGCTATGCTACAAGCCGGAAAGTCGCGGCTTGAAGTCCCGATGAGGTCATTGGAATTTTTTCAGTTGACCTAATCCTTCTAGCCGCACTAGGCCCTGGGGTTTACTCAGCCTCTAACAGAAGAAATGAGTTCCAGGAATTAAATAATTTTCCTGGGGAGTAAAGCGCAGCCGGCGCTTAAGGCGCAAATCCTTACCGGCATCTTTGAGCCGATTGTCTAGTTAATGTGGGACCCTCAACGTCTCTCAACCATATGGGCCTTCACGGCCTGGTACAGGGATAGCTTTACTTTACTTTTTTTACTTTTACTACTAAACAATTTATTTCATCTTCCACTTCAGTTTTGAAACGTTGTTATGCCAAAGTCATCATGCAGAGTTTTCTGTCCACTGCTGCCACGACAAACATACGGTGACAATTTCGCGAACTTTATTTTTAGACCTCGTGTACACCACGGATACCATAAATTGGTGCATGCGTAATCGAAGAGCCCTACTGGAAGACTTCGAAGTGACCTATGACGCCAAGGAATCTCACAGCGAATATGAAGTTCTCAGTCATTTAATAATCCGTGGAATCAGGTTTGATGTCTGTGTTTTCATGGGTTCTAAAGCCGGGCGCACATCAAGGAAACTGGCAACCGAAACGCAACCGCGATGATCGAGAATTGTTATCAGTCCGAGTTGAATACATGTTACTCAATGGAGCAGCGCAAATTGAGGAAACGGCAATGAAACACGCGGGAAGATTGACAAACTCAACTTGCAGGAAACGGAGCACGTCACAGTTGTGTTGCCGCGTGGTTTCCTTGAATCAGATGTTTTGTAACGCGCTTAAGCGATTAATTTATTTCTTTGATGGCACGAAAGGTTGACGAAGCTGCTAATTTTATTTTTGTGCAGTTAACTGAACAAATAATAATAATTTAATATAAATATATGACAAACGCCACACAGACTATGCTAGGCGGCACAAAATAGATCTGGCTTGAGAAAAAATTTCTCATGGGACGAAGAAGTCTGGATCCACTTTAAGTTCTTTCGAAACAATATAAGCGCCGCAGTTTAAATTGTAATATTGTATTTAAGCATCCTGTTGCATTAATATATCATTTATTTCACACAGATTTCCGTCTTAAATAGAACTCATCATATAGTCACCCTTCTTCAACTTTACATGGCTCGGTTATATACATTTTCTGTCTTGTGAAAATTGTTGCTCTGTATGTAAAAATTTCTTATCGCCTGTGAACGCGATATTTTCTGATTAAAATAAATTGACATTAATTAAAACAACTAAATTAATATTATTGTTGAAAACTAGTATATTACTTATCTGTCATTCATAAAATAGAGCCTTTTTCGCCCCACTTCTTGTTTGTTACTTTGCTGTTCTTGTAGCCATCGAGGGTCATATTATTAAGTACTTCACTCGCTTTAACTGCTTCTGTGAGCCTTTCTGTGTTTTCTGAATCCATGATTTAAAAGAGTTACAATGAATGTATAAGGGGTGGGCCTTCTTGGCCCTTGCACCACGACCATAGTGATCATTGTGCCTAAGTTAGAATGAAAATGAACGTAGTCTCAAAACGTATCAAATGGCCACTGCATGCCTGTTCGCGCAATTCCCACCATACAATTCCTGCGCGAACAACCCGATATGTACGATCTGCCCGCCTGACCGCTCAACCTGATAGCGTAGCCTGCTTGCTCGCGCGGATTTCCCGCTCTCTGAAGCTCTGGTGTGTGTGACTGCATTTACGTCCGGCTGCTAGATAGATTGCGTTCCTGTTCGCGCTGGCATTCGCGTTCGCGCTCGCCTTGTCTCGGCAAGGCTTAATCTGGAAATCAGTTGCCTGTTTGAAAAAGGCGACATTTTTAATTAATCGAGGTTGCCAGTTTCCTTGGTGTACCCTCGGACAAACTGTATAAACGTTGAATGATAAATTATTGACGTACCAACTGGTGTTGGCTTTGTGACTTATTTCATATAGTTTACATCCGTTACAATTCATACTTGTTTTCTCAAATTTGTGTGGGTTACCGCGATTAATGCTTTCGCTTACTAATCTGCTACCTACAAGATTATCATTGAATTACTTGGGTAAGTTGTGTTGGTTAACCGATGCCACTGGGTAATAGGGATACTAGGCATCTGGTGCCTTGCAAATAAACGTGGATGGGTTACTCTCACAAACAAACGCCCAGGCAAGCGTTTCTTAAGGAAATACACAAATCGTGACGGACTACTAATGAACTACGGTGCTCATATAATTTGTTTTAATAATGACTTACAAATCCTTGCTGGTGGCCGTATTCTTGGATTTTTCCGAATAAAATACACTGCACTCAAAATACGTGTCTTTTGCAAATTAATGTACAAGAAAAGAATCCTATAAACGTAAATTTCACATTTACTTCAGCATTCAAATGTATGAATATTCGCATATAATTGCCAGAAGAATAACCTATTGTTCATTGGATATGGATACCGGAAGGTTGTTAATTAGAGATATTATTTTACTAAATTAGAAACACGGGTAACATACCTATCTGTTGTGGCAGAATAATTTACCCGCGTGTCGTCCAATATACCTACATGCAAGCTGTCATACGATGTGTGTGTCTGGCTGTATGGTGAAATTACGACAGCCCATCTGTAGCAGACCAAAGTGAGAAACGTAACTTCCGGGAGTTCGCGTTCGGTGGTAGACGTTTTCTGATTCGGAATTTTGTCGCAGGAGATGTGTGGCTTATCGATGTTTTAGCATAAGCGAGACACGGTTAACTGTATATAATATATTATATATTGTTTGTTCGTTTGTTTTGGAGATATTTTAGAGGTCTATTTTTCAAGTATTAAGTAATTGCGGACGCAGTTCCGGTGCATGAATAAATTCCTTACAGTGAAAACGAGGGTTAAATCGCTTTCGAAGAGAAGGATATGTCTGACCGAGAGAGTGGAGATGACCAGCCTCAGGGGCAAAGTAAGAACTGACATCCGTCTTGTTTACTGTTTCTGAAGAAAAATGATTGGCTTTTCAGTGGAATTATTGAATTTGAGCGTCCAAAAGGCTGCATTTCATGTGTTGTTATATTGTAGACTACGTTCGTGTTGTCTGACTAATCAAGATGGCGTGGCTACAGCCCTATTTTATTTGGAGAATTTCGTTTGAAATCGCAATAATATAAGCAGCGATCACTCATTTTAAGTAGCTAATAAGGGGGCGGGTTGTGTGGGAATTTGTGGGCGAAGAATGTTTCACGGTTGTCACCGGCTTTAGTCATGAAACACGGGTACCATATCTATGTTGCTGCATATTCAGGCAAGGAAATAAAGCAATATTATAAGAAATCATTGCTTTTCAGTTTATATTGGAGATATCTACATATAAGACACCACGACACAACGTTTGGTCTTTCTTGTGGTGAAATATTTGTTGTCATTTCGGGGTTATTGAAATCTTACTGGAAAATATATTGCAGGTGATGTGAAGCTTATCAGATTTGTCACAAGTTTTTCTGAAGTTAAAGTGAGATAATTCATAATGTGAGTCTAGACACACTCGTATTTATAGCGTCATTACGAGAGTGTGCAGGCTGTTGGCGCAAAGCGTTCTTGGTATACTTGAGAAGTAGTGGAAATATTTGTTACATTGGTTGTGTAGTTTGAATTCATGTGGCCAGTGTGCACAGTATATTTGAAATGCCATCAGTCCGATAGTTTAAGTGGAGTGTAAATTTTAAAACTATAAACCATTGAAATAACTTCATAGTTACCACTGTGAGAACCTTAGGTCTCACATGGTAAATGAATTGTTTTTTTTAACTAATGATAGTTATATGATGACTTTTAAGAGGAAGGTTATTGATTCTATGAAAGAGTGCTATGACTGTTCAAATTCAACAATTCCCATCACAGTGGCAAAAAAATAACTGCTACCAGCATGGTGTTGCCAGGCTGGAAGTAGTGTATTTATGATATTTGGCAGTGTATCATGGTGGCAGTATTGTTTAAGAAAATGACAAGTGTAGTGTGCTTTGGTTGATGCTGGAGTAAGTGCTAAAACAACTGAACCTTTCTTATGGTTAAATTCTAGCAAGACACTGGCTGATGTCTGATTCTCCTTTATAAAGTTTGGCCTTTCATTTTTCCTTAAATAATGAAAGCATATTGTTAGGTTTTGAATTATATTTTTAAAATTGAACATCTTACATTGGCTAGGGGTTAGGAGACTTGTTCCTCTAATGCCTCTGAAAATAGTAATTGTCTTTGTAATGGTTTATTCATAGAGTTCACTTGACCTTCTTAAGGTCTGTGTGATTGCCTTTTATGACACTGGGACCATTGTTATGTTCTTCAATGTAAAGACTGTAGCAATGTTACTGTGTTAGATTGTCATATTGCTGACAAAATGCATATTTCATTTATTCTTGGGGGGTTAATTTTGTTTGTCGTTGCATCGATGTATGGATTTAATTGTATGTAATGTGTTTTTATAAAATGTAATGATTTTTGTATTCTAACTTTAATGGTGGGGCTTCGAATTTTTGCATCCCAGTTTTCATGGTGGGCTTAGAATTTTCTGTTATACTACCATTAATGCATAATCTGGCATAGATGACAAGTAAAATTTCTTATTTCCTATATATCTTTTACTACTATCATATTTTTATCACGTTGCCTTTGTGCTCAACTACTGCTTTCCCGTCCCTTTTACTTGTTTGTGCTATCATCATTCTTCTCTCCATATTAGAATAATCCCATCATCCTTGATTTTTCATTTCTTTATTTCTTTATTACATTCTCTTTTCTGTCATATTCCATTCTCATCCCTCTAATTTTTCTGTGCTATCATATCTATTCCCATATCTGAATGGTTGGTTTTTTCAAGAGCATAAAAGGAACTGGCATTTATTTATATGAAAATGTTTAATTGAAGTTTGACATGATGGAATTTCTCACACAAGAATTTTTTTTTATTCTGGCTGCTGCAGGTTGGCTGGAGTGGCTCCTGCATTTATATGAAAATTTTGCAGGCCTGAGTGAATGTGTTCTTTTATGTGTAATTGTTCAGTTAGTATTTCAAATAAACATGGTGTAAGCTACAAATTAAAAATGCTTGGAATTAAATGCTCATATATTTTATTGGAGAGAAATTATGTCATTATTTTCTTGTCACAGGCAAATAGATGAATGTATATTTTCAGTGAGTGGGTGGACCCATTGTTATATTCGTAATTGATAATATTTAATTTTATGTGTTTAGTTAGACAGTTATAATGCTGAGTGTTATTGCTTCTTTGAATTTTAGTGAATTTTAAGTGGTGTGAGGGACATTTTTTGTAATAAACAATTCAGGAATGTAATGTACAGGACATCATATGTCTGGAACAGTTACATCTTTGATTTAAATCTTTTAATTTAAATTTTTTTTTTTAGGATTTCCCATATGTTTGAAAGTTTTATTGACACCATCACACAGTCACATTTATAATTTTCAAAGTTTGGTTATGAATGTTCTGTCTTTTGATTTTATCATATAATAATTATAAATTTCATACCAAAGCAATACATATGAACCTTTGATATTTTTTTTTGTGACATGTTATTTAGCTTATTTTATACACCACAGGTAAGGTCGTGTCCCTTGAAAAGGGGGTAATATTTGCTGTTTTGTTTTCACTTATACCTGTTCTTTTCTGGAAAGGATTGTTAAAAGTTATTCTAGGGTATAGCTTTATTTGACAAATTGTAGCAAAATGTAGCTTCGGGAAGTCTCCAGACTGTTAAATACATTATCACAATGTACTTTGCTTGCCATTATTTTACTGGTTTAAATTTTGAAGCAATTTGGTTAACTGCCAACTAAAGCAGTATAGGACTTCTGTGAGAAAATGGATTCTGAACATCTTAATGTGACAGAAGACAGAATATTATTAACTTGAGATTTGTATATTATGTTTAACTATCTAAGATAATGATCCTCTGGGTTCTGACACTATTTAGTTTAGTGGGCAGGTACTGGTGTTTGGAGGAACATGTTGGCTTCATCATCAAGGTTGTTTGTGTATGTTCAGAAATATACTTGGTTATATAGGGAAGTTACAAGGCTGGTTGGCATGAGAGTCAATGAGAAGGGTTTCAGGAAAGAACCTATATATTTAGGTCGTTCAAAAATGATTGACACTCCCTCCATAACTCTGGAAATGTAGAATTGTCAAATGTGAACCGGTATATGTGGGAAGACATATTATAGTGCTGCCTGTGGCCATGAGATGACATTGCTGCTGCGCACAGGTCAAACAGTGCTGCGTCATTCGTGACGGTGTGCAGGTTCAGTCTTGGACAGTGTTCAGACAACATGGAAGCAGACAGTCACGAGCAACGGTGGACTGTGTGGTTTCTTTGGAGGGCAGACCATAGCCACCCTGGGTGCTCTAGGGTACACCGTGCTGCCTCATCCGCCAAACCCACCCAATCTTGCCCCTAGCGACTGCTCTATTCAATGTAATGAAAGACGTCATGCGGGGTAAGATGTTCACCTCCAATGACGAGCTTCAGGCAGTTGACCAGCAGTGGTGCCGGGATATGCCCAAAGAATGGTTTGCTGTGCAAATATGGAAACTGTGGGAATGATGGCAAAAGTGCATAGACATTGCCTGGGAATACCTCTAATATAATCTGTATGTATTTTGTTCCAATAAATGGTTATTGTGAAGAAAAAACGTTTAGTGTCAATCATTTTTTAACGCCCCAAGTAAAATGCCTTTACAGCTGGCTTTCACAGACGTGTAAGTTAGCCATAGCTGTCCTTTAGAATTTCATTGGGGTGGTGCGGAGATGATGTTGGGCTGGTAGAATGGTTTCACATTAACTACGAGTATTGTAACTGCTATATAGGAACTGAGGGTAATCCAGATGGTTTATTGGGTGCTAGTAGTATTCTGGGTAAGGGGCACCGTATAATGATTTGGATTGGCCTGCTTTAACAGCTTGGTTTGAAGGATTAGCTCAGGTAAGGTGAACACATGACTCTACCAGGTGTTAGCAGACCATAACTCAGATGGCCAGGAGGCACACACGCATGTGTGTGCACAGGGCACCCTTTTGCTCAGAAGACAATGCTTATTTGTTTTGGACTTGCATTAGTTTGCTTCTTCTGCAGTGCTGGTGAGATGTTCAGCATTTCTGATATGCTGCTTATTGTATTGAGAATAAGGTACCATCTTGTGCTTCAACCTTTAAGCTATTTATATAAATAAAAGAACATGATTTAAACGGAGCCAATAGATCGACCTCCTGAGTGTTCTGGTTATTACCTGATGCACGAATGGATCGGCGCGCTGAGTGTTTGAGAGTTAAACTATTCTCACTTTTCATAACTGGGGTCTCTTTTAAGTCTGTGTAGTCTCGCTATTGTCTCGTAGGTTCACTGCTAGTGCATTAATGTGGTTTTCTAATTATCTTAAGTATTTGGTAGTCCTCATTTTTATTTCACTGAGCAGTGTCTTCATTTGTAGATCTTCGCATATCCTGTGGTTGTTTATGTACCAAGGTACATTGAGAATGGATTGGAGAGTCTTGGAAGAACGGCCACTTTAAATTATATTTTACTGTGTTATACATTGCATAATATGTTTAATTGCACTGAATTCTTCTGCATTAGGCATGACAGAGGATGATTCTACATGATATACAGATGCCAATTGATGCCTTTATTCTTCCGGTGCTGTATGTTGATACAGAATTAGAATAAATTGATGTTGGATCTTCATTGTTCTAGACAATTTGTCTTGGTTCATCCTAGTCTGTCACACTAGTAATAGTATAAAAAATTAATAATGCCGTCCAGTGCGATTGATGCTTTTTTTTAATCTATCCTTGACATGTTTTGGTCGGAGCTACCGTCTTCAGAAGGACATACCAATACATGCGGAAACTACTATTACAATGTGATTGGTAATTATCAGTACATATAGACAC